TAAAGGATGCGTACAAGTGGTGCCCGCCAATCGTAGACTATGTGATGCATCAGTGGGTACCTCAGAGGGAAAAGTTTGTCAAATATTGGACGAACCAAGTTCTTCATTTTGGGAACACTACGACATGCAGAGTCGAGAGCGCTCATAGAGCTTTGAAGGACTGGATTGATTCTTCCACGGCTGCTCTGGATACACTGTTCGAGAGAATAAACAAGGCTATTGATACTCAGAGGAACGGCATCAAGAACTATCTCGAGGACTCCAGACGACGACATGGCATGTTGTATGGCCATTTCATATTTAAGATTCTCCACGGTCGTGTGTCACACCACTGTTTGGGGTTGATTCTGAGCGAGTATACCAGGATGAGGGAGTTGGGCGATGAAGTGGCTATTCGGTGCGGATGTGCTATATCAATGACTCATGGATTACCTTGTGCATGCACCATTCACCGCGTAATTACGCAAGACAGGGCGTCGTTACATGTCGATCAGGTTCATCCATTCTGGCGGACGCTCGTTATCGGAGAGCATGCTGTTCCGCATACGGTTCACCGTGAACAGGAGGAGTTGGAGCAGTTTCAGATGATGTTTGACCAAGTGTCCTCCAGTCACCCTTCGATCATTCGTAGTGCTACACACATACTTCATGACATGTTCAATACATCGTGTTTGGATACCGAGGAACCGGAAGGGGTCGAGCGACCTAGGGGTCGACAACCACGGCGGAACAAGAGTGCGTTTGAGTACATTCGCGGTCGTGGCCGTGGCCGTGGCCGTGGTCGTACATCCTCATCAAGTGGCAGCCAATCATCGTCGTCGGTGAATATGCCCGGCACCGGTAAGACATTCGACTTCAATTTCTTTTGTTGACTGTTTGATTAGTTTACTGTTGACTTGTTTATTGTGTTTATTGATGTGTGTAACAGGGAGAATGGACATTGAACATTTTCCATATAAGGACAGGATCCCTAATATCATGATGCCATTCTTGGACGGGTGGAATGATGTCATTGCAGATGGTAACTGCGGATTTCGGGTTGTGGCGGATGTGTTTCAAATGGGTGAAGACAACTACGGTTTAGTGCGGCAGTTGATGTACAGTGAAATCGCATCAAACCGAGATGTGTATGGCCATGTGTACGGCGAGGACTTGGATAGGTCTCTGCAGCGTATCCGGTGGGGAGGGGGACCTTGCGGTCAAAATCATTGGTTCGATGCGCCACTTGATCTCTTTGCCGTTGCAAACATCTACAAGTGTGCAGTCATGCATTTCGGCCTTGGTTTACATAGTCGAGCCTATTATCCATGTACAACGGTTCTGCCCTGGTGTTCGCGCGAGACCGTCACCAGACCGGTAAGGGACGTTGCTATTGGATTTCTTGGGCCGTCATACAGACATTTTATCCGATTAGACATGTCACCCGATTTTCCGGTCCCAAATATCATACCGAAGTGGTATGAAATTCGTAGAGCAAGCGTGGAGGGTTGGGATGCTTTGTACCATGCTCGCGTGCAACAGTGGAACAATTTAATTGCCATGTAGTTTTTGTTGATGTACACCTACCTTTTACTATGAGGCCTTGTATTGTCAATACTATGTCATTTCTATGTGTTCATTTTTAAAAGATAATGTTTCATTTTAAAAACTAACAACAATAATTTCAAATATTACAAACTAAAAAGATAATATTGAATTTTAAAAACTAAGAACAATAATTTCAAATATTACAAACTAAAAAGATAATGTCTAATTTCAAATATCAGTAATCCCTCTGTGACGCCCACTGCCACTGCTCAAGGGTCCGTTCCAGATCGTCAATAACAGCTCTGCCTGATGCACTCGTCATGCAGTCCCTTTCCTCAAAAAGTCGGTGTCCCAACTGCATAATCTTGCCCATCCACTACACAAAACATAAAACATGAAACGACGTATTATACATATATATATTAAAATAAGAGAACAACAAATAAAAGATGAGACGTACCGCATAAGAGGCAGTGGCAGGTGGCACATCGTCATCATCTGCGTCGTCGATGTCTTTGATCAACCTCGGGTGCGAGTGCCGGATGTACCATTCCATGTAGTGCTCTTCATTGAGTAGATCGTACTCCTCACGACGTCAATACTCTTCCCCGCACCAGGTCTAAATTGCGATGCCTAACTCCAAGTAAATAACGAAACATAATAACGAAAACAAATTAAAAAAAGTCGAAAATAAACACAAAAGCAAATAAACAAGTCACGGAAATAAAATTATAAACATAAAAAATATAAAATTAAAACAAATAAAAAAACAAAATTTAAAAAAAAAAAGATAAAAAAAAAAGGGAACATACAATTTAAAAAAAAAGAAAAACAAATTTTTTAAAAAAAAAAAAAAAATCGAAAATAAAATTTAAAATTAAAAAAAAACAAAAAAAAATTTAAAAAAAAAAAAAAGAACGAAGCGCCTAGGCAAGGCGCCCGTACGGTGGTGTCGGCGCCTAGCCCAGACGCCACTACCACGGCCGTGGCGCCTAGCCTCTGCGCCGCTGCCGTGGTAGTGGCGTCTGGGCTAGGCGCCGCCACCACCGTACGGGCGCCTTGCCTAGGCGCCTCCTCCGTGGTGATGGCGTCTCGCCTTGGCGCCCCACCGTCGCCGGAGGTTTTTTTTTTAAAAAAAAATTACAAAAATTAAAAAAATTACCTTCTGGCCGGCAAACCGCCTTCCGCCCACCGCCGGTGCCGCCACTTCCTTGTCGGGCCGCCTCGACATAGCTCTGGAAATAATTTAGAGAGAGAAAGTGGAAGTAGAGAGTAGAGAGAGAAATTGTGTGTTTTTTAGTATGAGGGCAAAAGTGTCATTTCACTCTTATTTTGTGGGCTTTATGTAGGAATTTGCGGGCGATGTTTAACAATTCACATAAATAAACGCTAATATTTATACAAAATTCCTTGTTGTTGCAGCTTATTTAAATGAAAATATTTTGGTTTTTTTTCCAGTTTTTATTTTTTTATTTTTTTTTTTTTTTTTTTGTGAACAGTGCTACCCCAGGCCCTTACGTGGGTCATTCGTCTCTGGTAGAGACACTGAGTCATCAAGACTAATACATAATATGATAAATTTATGAGATTTGAATTAAATTGCATATGAATAAATTGTTATTGAAATTCAGAAAAAATATAAATAGAAAGAATAAAATTAAACTAAAGTAATTGAATTGAATTCACCCTCGAAAATGTATCTTTCACGTCTTGGTCAAAAGGTAAAATATCGGATAATTTTATTAAAAAACTTCGCACACATTGCTGGAATATGAGATTGAAACTAATTTATAATTATCGGATAATCTCATATAAACTCTAAAAAATCGAGGGTTGATGCCTTGAATAAATCCTAAATTAAGATATTTATAGTTTAAAAGGCTGAAAAATATTGAAAAGTTTGGAAAGTCCCGTGACACTCGAGGGATTAATCGGGTATCACGTGAGCTGACTCTAAGTAATAAGATTTTTTTTTTTGGATAGATAAGTATAAGAAGTTTATGGTAAAACATAAAACAAAACTTTTGTCTAGGATTTGAATATTCTATTTTTTCAAATAATTAAAACATGTATGTTCCTACATTTGTACCTTTTTTTTTGGAAGAATCCTACATTTGTACCTTAATAGTCCATAATACATAAAATATAAAAACGTGTGACCACATAATTAATAATGGAATTGAAATCTTGAATATCTTTAAATTCATTGGGTATTTATCTAGGATTTGAATACTTTAATTTTGCAAATGATTAAAACATGTATGTCCCTACATTTGTACCTTAAAAATACATAAAATATAGAAAACGTGTGACCACATAATAATGGAATTGAAACCTTGTATTTATCTTTAAATTCATTGGGTATACGTATGTTTCCGTACGAATGATGTGATACACGTCTACACACTCAGTACACAGTGCCAAGAAACTAAATGCAATAAGACAATAATAATTCATATATTGATATGAGTATGTTTGTTAAGAATCTAGTCCATTAAGATGAGACACCCAAGTAATCCAACCAAGTAGTACTTAGGGCCTGTTCTCATTAACTGAACTGAACTGAATTGAAGTGAAATGAATATTTTACAAGATAAGGAAATTAGGAACTGAACTGAACTGAACTGAACTGGACTGAACTGAACTAAATTGAGCTGAACTGAACTGAATTTCAACGTATGAGAACATGCCCTTAGTTATTGTGGTATAAATTATCAAAGGACCTACTTAACTAAAATCTTAATTAACTTACTAGTTAGAGTCACATGATTGATTTTTATATCTTATCATGCTCCTTTATAAGTCATTATTTGAGGTTGAAATGCGGCTATTTGAACCTTCTAACACTCCACACTTAAAAATCCACTTTGAAAAGAAAGGTTAATAAGATTTGAACCCATGAATTTTTGTCACACATGCTTTGATAATTGATACCATGCCAAATGATCAATTCAATCAAAAAGTTGAGCTGATGGTTAAATTAGAGTCATAAGATTGGTTTTTCACTCTACTACTACGCTCTCTCACACAAGGGCTCTTTAGGGTTTGAGAACGATATAGATGCAACATGAGCCTTCACATACCAAGTATTATTCATTATACTTTTAATTTTTTAAAAGAAAAGGTATACGGGGTATGAATTTATTTGAGACAGTGATCTTCTAGTCCTTTTGGACTACTTGATTTCATATCAAAATTGGATGTACAATTATAATGTTTGTCTTTATTTTTTCAAACAATCTTCATCTTTCGTTAATTTTTTTATTATTATTTTTTTTTAAATGATAAAGACCTAAGTTTCCATGAAATTCTGGTATACCATAAACAAGTCCCTACCAAATTCGGAGTGGTGGAGTAGAAGAAAAATATATACTCGGTTCTCAATATTTTGTATATATATATATATATATATATATATATATATATATATATATATATATATATATATATATATATATATTGAAAATAAAAAAGAAGTAAGCAAACAATTAAATTAATGGAAGGCACACATAAAATTTTTGCTCCCAAATTAACCCACTTCTTTGAACAAAGAAGTCATGGCTACTATTATTGTCCCAAAATCTTGCCTACAATTAGGTACAAAACCACCAACTCAAAAATTATGAGCACTTCAACAACAAAATATAGACGTTCTGCTGGATATAAACCCAGCATTTGGAATCTTGAGTTCCTTATTGATGAGTCTTCTAAAAGAGATCGTTATGTCCATCAACCGGTAAGTTATTATTATTATAACTTTTTTTTTTGTTGGTAAGTAGAAATGTACGTAGAAGGGTTCTACTTAACCGGAACCTCTCACTGGTCCTCCCGACCTAGATTAGCGGTCTAAAAACTTTGAAAGTTGAGGGGGGAGGGGGGGAAGGGTGAGCGAATCCCCACCCTCCAACCAAGAGGTTGTATGAGATGCAAACTTAACCACTAGACTAAGAGGTTGTGAGATGCTTGATATTATTATTTGGTTACATAATTTTATATTATATTTGAAGAAGTCTAATTCTAACACAAGTAATATTTCGATGGTCGCACTTATATATTGTTTGGCATCATATATTTGAAACATATTTTCTTATAGTTGCAGATAATAACGTTTTCTTATATAATCGTAGAAAATAATGTTAGTTTTTTTTTTTTCTATTTTTTTGGTTTTCTCTTCTCTTTACATCGCCTGAATATATAACCAATATAATTGTTATCTTAAATGGCATCATATATATATATATATATATATATATATATATATATATATATATATATATATATATATATATAAATATAAATGGGATCACGTGAGAACCCATGGCTTAGGTGAGAACCATTTTAAAATGAGAACTCATCTAACACCATTCATTTTTATTAGATGAATGATTCAGATTTATTGTTTCATTAGTGGGAATTCACGTGGGCCACCTTCATTAATTATAATGATTGTTTGTATTTTTTTTAAAAAAAATTTTGTGCATTGGGACACAAATCTGCCAAAAGCTGTCATTATTACATGTTTTTTATTATTTATTGCATTGAAACACGTTACGTTAAAATGTAGTTGAAGTGTACGTCGTTAATGATGTTTCGTAAAATATATCAAGTGTTTCAATTTATAATATTAATGTTTCATATATATTATTGCTTGTTTTCATACAGTTTGGCTCTATATGAACTAGGTGTACTGTGATTTCTTATACCTTATTTCTGATGTTTCAAAAAATATACCTTATGTTTCATTTTATAGTGCTTATGTTCCATAAAATATATGTGTTGTTTCATATACTAATGATATTGTTTTATACATAAAAATCATTTATGTTTCATATAATATTTCATTCGAATATTATTTATATTGTTACAGAAATAAGAACTATTGTCCCATAAATATTATACATTGTTCCATACCATATGTGTGAAATGTACCAATGACTGAAATGCATGTTCCCAAGAAAATTAAAAAGCATGTACCAATGACTGAAATGCGTGTTCCCAAGAAAATGCATGGGAAAGTGATAATTAATCTCAGCCATCCATTAAGTGTAGTTGGTGTACGTTAATGATGTTTCGTAAAATATATCAAGTGTTTCAATTTATAATATTAATGTTTCATATATATTATTGCTTGTTTTATATAGTTCGGCTCTATATGAACTAGGTTTACTGTGATTTCTTATACCTTATTGATGTTTCAAAAAACATACCTTATGTTTCATTTTATACTACTAATGTTCCATAAAATATATGTATTGTTTCATATACTAATGATATTGTTTAATACATAAAAATCATTGATGTTTCATATAATATTTCATTCGAATATTATTTATTTTGTTCCAGAAATATGAACTATTGTCCCATAAATATTATTTATTTTGTTCCAGAATTGAATGATATTCCACATACAGATTTGCTCCTTTTTTGCACTGCTTCGAAAATTCTACCAAAAAATATCAAACGAACTCCAAAAATTCTGAAATTTTGTATGCTTATTCTAAAAAAAAATAAGCAGATTCAAAAAAAGAATCGCTTCAAAAGGGTTTTTTATGAGAGAGAAATCTTCATTTGAAATCTGTCTTTCCAGATTTGCTCCTTTTTTGCACTACTTCGAAAATTCTACCCAAAAAAATATCAAACGAACTCCAAAAATTATGAAATTTTGTATGCTTATTCTACACAAAAAAATAATCAAATTAAAAAAAACGCTTCAAAAGCTTTCTTTATGAGAGAGAAATCTTCATTTGAAATCTGCCTTCATTTCTTTCTCTTCAATGGCTAAATTAAAATGAAACCAGATTTTCCATTTTCTCTCTCTTCAATGGCTGAATCTCTTGGTTTTATAGTACATAAATCGTTGTTTCAATGCAGAAAATAAGGGAAAAAAAATTAAAAAGCATGTACCAATGACTGAAATGCGTGTTCCCAAGAAAATGCATGGGAAAGTGATAATTAATCTCAGCCATCCATAATCTTATAATTGATGGTGCAAGATTGGTTCTTATTTTAAGGGGGTTCTCATATAAGCCTTGGTTCTCACATGATCTCTCCCCTATATATATATATATATATATATATATATATATATATATATATAATGTTACTCCGTAAACTAGCTATGTTTGCTTATGTGATACTGTGTTAATAATTTACGCTAATTATTTATTTGTCATGTGTGCTTGACTAATCAAATCGATCTAGGATGATGAGTACGTAAACATAGTAAAGAGACTAAAATGTGAGGTGAAGAATTTGATGGTTGATGAAGAATTGGAACCCTTGGTGATTTTCAAGATAGTCGGTGAAATTCAAAGATTAGGTCTTGGAGATTATTTTGGCAAAGATATAGAGAGTGCACTACGTAGATTGGCATGCAAATTTGGTGATTTGGAACTTGATCTTCATGCTACTGCTCTTGGGTTCACACTTCTTAGACAAAGTGGAATTTTTATTTCTCAAGGTATGTGTCCGATTCGATAGACTATATATATATATGTAATGATGTTCATATAGTTCAACTTAATTGAGTTTTTTTTTGTTAAATGAATAGATCAAATCATACCATATATTTTATATGCTTTTGCTTATACCTTAAATTTTAATCTTGGTGGGTTGGTGACGGAACTCACCTTAAGTTCGAGCCCCACTAGCTACTAGCTAGCACCTCTCATAGTTTTCCAATTTTTCTATATATGACCAAACTATACCGGCCAGGTTTGACAATTAACTTCATTCTATGATTTAACAATTTTGTGTATCTCATTAATATCGTCATTATTAAATTGTTTGTCTCTCGATACCTAGTGGAGTTTAAAACTAATATCGGTTTTCATCATGTACACCGTCATTATTAATATATATTAACTAGCCTTGTAGCCCGTTTGATGCACAAGTTATTTCTTATCTTATAGAATAATTTCTTGAGATGCGTTATTTTAAGAAAATTATGAAACACCTCATTTTATTACTTAAATTATGCAAGTTATATAATGTCGGGAGTCTTTAACCGTAAGCTATATTTAAGTTAGTGGGAATGTAAAAGAAATAATGTTGATTACTACATGTAATAAATTAACTTTATTGGTGATCTTATTATATATATATATATATATATATATATATATATATATATATATATATATATATATTTTATTTTAAAAAAAAAAGGAAAAAAGAGTTAAATGGTAAGTATGACATGTGGTGCTAACTATTGTTTATTTGTGCGATGGCGGTTTGTGTTATTAGCCAATGGGGTTTTTCCCCTTAAATTGTGGTTAATATATCTTAGCTTGGATGTATTTGGTGTGAGAAACAGATATCTTCAAGCAATTCATGGATGAAAACGAAAACTTTAAGCCCTCTTTATGCAATGACAAAGAAGGGATGATAAGCTTATATGAAGCCTCATATTTTGGATTTGAAGGGGAGCATCTGTTGGTTAAGGCCAAAGCTTTCACCAAGGAGTATCTTCTATCTAATAATAATAATCATTCCAAACAAGAGGATAAACTCATTGTTGATGATGATGTGAATCACACATTAGGGCTTGCATTACGATATAGAATGCCAAAGCTTGAAGCTAGACTCTACATCGAGACTCATCCTAAGGATGTTGAAACCGCCTTGCTTCAACTTGCCATGCTCGACTTCAATAGGGCTCAATTGATGTATCAACAAGACCTCCACGAGTTGGCTAGGTAAGTCAAAATAATAAGAACATTTAGAAACGGAGGGAGTATATACCTTTTTATGCAATTATTGTTTTATTCCATATATAGGTGGTGGAAGGATCTTGAGCTATCAGAGAAATTGAGCTTTGCAAGGGATAGACTAATGGAGTGCTTATTTTGGGGCATAGGCACATTACCTAAGCCTGAACTTAGCTCCGGTCGAAAGGCTTTAACTAGAGTCTTTAAATTCATCACTATTATTGATGACATCTATGATGTTTATGGGACCATTGATGAACTTGAGCTCTTTACCAATGCCATTGAGAGGTTTGCGATTAAACTATACTAGATCTATATGCACGCACATAAGTAAAATTTTAAAGTTTCCTAAACTATTTACTAAATTTTGAAGTTATTTATTGTTATTGCTTGTTTATATGCGATTTGTTTGTTGATGTAGGTGGAACATTAACGCTATTGACGAGTTACCAGACTACATGAAAGTAACCTTCCTAGCTTTGTACAACACTGTTAACGAGATTGGATATGAAATTCTCAAGCAAAAGGGTTTTAATTGCATCCCTTACCTTAAAAGATCAGTAAGTAAATTACATATGTTTGAGGGTGTTTGTTGGAGAATTTATTGGGTCAAAATTTATATATATATATTTATTTTTTATTTTTTTTTTTTTTTGAATAATGATTGACCAATTATATACACAATCACTTACTTAAAATCCTACAACAATAAAAATGACAATATCCTATTGGTAATTTTGCATACTCAAATTAGCTTTAACAAAGCAGATATTAGCCTAACACATTTACAACCATCAAATACAACTGGTTAGTCAAATCAGTTAATACAATCAGCTAGTAAACTTTGGCTAAAACGATCAAATTGAGTTTTAACTTTTCACCAAACACGAACATATATATTTGTAGTAGACTAAATATATTATTCTTGACTATCTATGCAGTGGGAAGATATGACAAAAGCATTTTTGGTGGAGGCAAAATGGCTCCAAAATAGCCAAACTCCAACATTTGAAGAATATCTCAACAATGGATGGGTTTCAGTCTCAGGAGTCGTAGCATTAACACACATATTTTTCTTCGTGAGTCCACAAATTACTCCTGAGGCACTTCATTGCTTAAGAAACAACCATGACATTTTACGTTTACCTTCCATGGTCTTTCGACTTTCCAATGACCTTGCCACTTCTGAGGTACGTACATACTTTATTATTACTAGTCCGTCTCACCTAAGACTTGATGTACATAAAATATATATAGTAACGTTAGTTTAACATCATGTACGTAGGCTGAAATAGAAAGAGGAGAAACAGCAAATGCAATATCATGTTATGCTAAGGAAAAAGGTGTAACAATGAAAGATGCGCGTAAACACCTAAGCAATTTAATCGACGAAAGCTGGAAAAAGCTAAATGAAATTCAAGTATTGAATGATACTCCATTTTCGGTTGATTTCGTAGAAGCAGCCATGAATCTTGCTCGTACAGCTCAATGCGCGTACCAACATGGTGATGGTCATGGATCGCCTGAGCTAATAAAGAAGAAAATTCTATCTCTCATAGTTGATCCAATCCATTTATAAGATGTATGTTTAGCACAATTTATAAGATGTATGTTAAATAAGGATTTGCACACTCAATACATGTATTGTTTTGAGTTTAATTTGTATTATTAGAAAATAGTGTAATATTGAAGAAAGTTGTCTATAGTGTGCTACACGCCTACACTTGTTCAAATATGACAAATAATACAAGTGATGAACTTATTCACATATGACGAATAATAAAAGTGATGCACTTATTCAGATATGGCGAATAATAATACTCCGTACTAGCTAAGTGCTGCACTTATTCAAATATGGAGGGAGCTACATATGAGTGTGAGAGTATATCACAGAAGTTAAGCTATGCACATTACACCTTAAATTGAATCTACCGTATTTCCCACGTAATAATTGATTTTTGAATATAATATGTTTTTTTGGTGTTTAGAAAGCCATAATGGCGGATGATGAGAATAGATCCCAAGATCCCTGGAATCGGGAGGGAAACTCTAACCACTTAAGTTATCCTTCACTCTCCGATAGAACATAGATAGCCTAGATATAGGGCAAGATTATATGGAATGATGGATCATATTGGACGTAACTAACAGTGTTAATGTTCCCATGTAAACCTAAAATTGATTACTAGAGCCAAGACATAAAGACAATGTAAAGAGAGTGAAAAACTATAAAATGAAAAAATAAAAATGAAAAATCCGACCTGCCGGAATCGAACCAGCGACCTAAAGATTATCTGTGTTACCACTACAGTCTTCCGCTCTGCCAACTGAGCTAAGGTCGGATTGTCAACAATTATCACATCATTTTATATTTATTTAACTATAATAAATTAAACAAGTGATTGAGATAATAGTTAAGACAACACTCCCTACATCTCTAATTTTTTGTACTATTTGACAACAGCGCCATATATGTTTCCGTTTCCATACCCACAAACCTTTTTTAAAAAAAAAAAAAAATGAAATTCTTAATGTAATTAAACCGTTGTGTGACCCATTTGTTCATTCGAGTAACTCTTCATCTTTTATTTTGACTATTAGATAAAATAAGTCCAAGAGTTTATATAAGTTGAGTAACCTCATTATTCCATTTCAAAGAAACCCCTAATCCTTCAAAATAACTCCATTTGCCCATCGTCGCAACTCTTGTTACTCAGTTAGTCTCTATTATGTAAATGAAAGGGGAAGAGTGAAAAGTTGATGTTCATATTGTAGATTGCTTAAAATACCTCTCATCCATTTTCATTTTATAGTTTATTTTTAAACTAAGATACACAAAATAATTTAAGCCATAATAGAAAATAAATGGCTGATAGACCTTGATATAATTGCAATTTATTGGTCGAGTTGGGGAAGGAAAAAAAAAATTGTACTTGTGCTTGATTTTGTGTGTTTGTACTTTTATACAATTGGAAAGTAGAACGGGGTTAGCAAAATGTCAAGGAACAAGTTCTTAAACTTGATTGAGCATATGTGTGGAATTTTTTGTACTACCTATAGTTTAAATTTTAATCAAATTAGATTATTAGCCTCATACTCATTAAGGTCATTTGTGGAAAAAAAAAATATTACGTGTAACTTATGTAGTCATTCTGTAAACTTAATTAGTCCGTCGGGATATTCAATCAAGAATTTCCCTTCATTTTTTCCGTTGCTGGATAAGCCTAATTTAATCAACTAATTTCGTCATTACTTACACATAATTTCACTGGAACAGGATAATTATGGGTATAAAACAATAAATTAGAAGGCTTCATTGCGACAAGATACCATAATTAAATCTCTCAAGATTAACTAGTATGTAGATATGAAAACAAAGCGGTCAAATACACAATGCTTATTACTTTACTCTCACAGGACATGGCTCTATTACACTCTATTAGAGACATGCCTCTGCATAATTTCCTACTAAATAATTGCCGTATCGTGCAAACCAAATAGATAAAAACAAATCTTACGGGCGGATCACCCTGATCTAACAACCAAGACATACTATATAGGAGGAAAAAAAAAAACTTTCTACATTCACATTAACAATTTGTATTATACTATAAAGGGAAGGTGAGAAGGCCACAAAGAATATCCTATGAAAATTAACTATAAAACATTAGGAGCATGAATTAACTGTATCTAAAATGTGGCCCTCCAATGGAACTCTCAAGCGGTACAAAACAACCATATAGCAACGGTGAACAATCCAGTCCCCTAAATCTGCCATCCCGTTCAAAAACCTGCGCAAATGTTATGATAGCAATAAAAAATTTAGAAACTACAATAAGATCAACACTGAATATAAGTAAAGACTTCCTATATTCAAAACTGAATATTTACGGGATTAGCAGGCTCACGAACATGCAAAAAAAAAAAATCAGCAATGGAGGGAAAGTCTGATCTTTCAGAAAAGCACTGATTTCACAGAACTACATTATCTAACTCGATTTCGGATCCAAAAGTAGGTACATTTGCTTATATATTACTGATAAATTGTTTTGCTAAAACATAAAGTACATGTTTCACTGACATTAAACTATACCACAAAAAATAAGGCAATTGTGATTTGTGAAAACACAAAAAAAGGAAGAGAATTCTCATAATAAACTTGTGAAGATCAATAATTTGATCAACTTTGAATCGTAACACTATACTACAACACTTGAGAAAAAAATTACTCAAGCATATTTTCATACCTTATGCAAGGATGTATACAAGCCAAAATCAACAGTTATACAAGGGACCTTATGGATGTTGAGTAAGCACTGCAAGATCAAGACAACAAGAATAAGTTACACCACCGCAAACATACAGAAAAACGAATATTTTTATATGTTGCACAACTAGCACAAGTGAGTCAGTAACAATAGTGAGAAGTGACAAAAACGTTACAGTCAGAATGGAAGAGACAACCCAGGCGCAATAGCCAACTATTTCTAATTGTCATCACCATGGCTTGCAGACAAGTAAATTTACAGAGTTGACAACATTTCCTAAACAAATCATAACAATACCAGTGCACCTAGTTTCACAAGAGAGCGGTCATTTTTAACCAACAGTTGAAAACAAACAAGGTTCAATACCAAAATCGAAAGAAGTCATCATTCAAGAATGAGAAAGTTATGATAAGGGTATGGAAAGAAAGAGTTCAGCAATTGGACTTCAGAAGAGGAAAAAAATCAATTAATCACCAGAGACAAAATTTGGATTTTCAACACTGGCCCAACCAATTGCCTTTAAGCTGATGGGGTTCCGTCATTATTCGTACCCCATTCTTCGGTTTCGTTACCGTTGACGAGCACAGCGCCATCATTAGAATCAGCATCTACAACAACACCCTCTTCTTGACTTTCATCTGCTCCATTCTGCTTAAAGAGACACAAAAGATAAGAACATTAGTTTTTTCATAACATTTTCATCAAGAATTCAAAGAAACAAAGGGTAATAGAAAGCTAGCAGTTACTCAATCTAGAAAATACATGTTACATTCTCTAAGAAAAATAAAAACTTCATTCCAAACAGCATTATTTACGGCAACCAAAAAAAAAAAAAAAAAAAAAAAAAAAAAAAGATTATGTACATACTTCATCTTCAAGAACCTCATCTTCATGCACCTCGTCTTCATGAACCTCGTCTTCATGTACTGTGTCGCCATTTTCAAGAGGTTGGTCTTCCTCTATCTGCATACTCTTAAAGGCTTCAACAAGATCAATTTTTGATTTCTCTGCATATTGCAAGTATTGCTCAGCTGGAGGATAACTGCCTCTGCATATATTAATAAAAGGTCAATTCGGGTTTCTAAGTATGACCCAAAAAAAAAAAAAAAAAAAAAAAGAAGAAGAATCTCATATGAATAAAAGTTCACCACATTCACATAGTATCAACCTATAAAAAAATCACCCATTATGCTAAACTAAAAAAAAAAACACAAATTATGTTTAGGATGAGGAGACTCTTTAAGTATTCTACCTTGTCTCGGCAACTTTAGACTCAACAGCAAGAGAAATTTGCCAATCGTCAAACAGATTAGGATACTCCTGAGGATCTGCCAATGATTCCGCAGCCTTTGAATTTACCTGTAGCAAGGGCAGAAAATTCTATGAGGTTTAAAATGAAACAATTTCAACTTCTACTTACGCCATAAATAAACAGTTAATTTAATTTTTAGAAAGGCAATAAAGCAATCACCAGCAAAACGATATAAATACAGGAAAATTTCTGATTTAAGAAACTATTGTATATTCTACCTTATGTAGGTGTCTATATATCAAACCTTGCTGGAAACAGACCATTAATTACACTTGAAACTTATCCATGCGTGAAACATACTTATATAACTCTATTCAGAAGCTCACCACTTACATAAAAAGAAATGCACTGATTATATGAAACATACTTCGAATGCCCAGGCTGCCACACATCTTCAGATGATAAAGATGGGAAGCATGAACATAAAGCACATCCCCAGCTCTTGTTTAGTCCATTTCAATTTTGAAATATAGAATATTTTTGTTTTTAAAAACCAAAAGATCTAAAGTCCACCAAAATTGATTAAAAGCCAGGTCATCCACAAATGCGATTGACAAGCAACTGACCTTGCTGAGATCCTTTCTCCATAAGGCAACAATTTCGGAAACTTTGCTGGGAAGATAAGAACGTGCCATCAAAGCAGCCTCAGGAATTCGGTTACTGCAAAATTAATCAAATTCAGTACGTCAGTTAAGAGATTAAAAGACAGACACCTTAAACAAAAGCCTTTCTCTGAAGCGATATTTAACCTGTCTATCAACAGCTGAAGACATTCTTCCAATTTACCCAACGTAAATAAGCAAAGGAAAGCAACATTGTTTTTCCCTTGTTCTTTAGCTAGGGTAGCAAGCTCTGAAATTCCCTCAGCATCTCCAATTGAAGAATAAAGAAGCAACATGCCACTGAAATCCTTTGCATGCTTCAAGCATTCTTCTGCCATTTCAAACTGCAATATAGTAGAAACAATGAGAATCCTAAAAAGAAATCCTCAAATTATAGATAAATTATCAATCAGTCATATAAACCATAGGGCCCGATCAGTTTAAGTTCGGGCCAATTTTGTACACATTTAAAGCCTAGGTCAGTTTATTACAAGTAGGTTGCTTTTGCCTGGTCAGCCAAACATTACCACTCTGACATTCTAATTAATTCCCACAAGCCATACACACCCTGTGGAAAAATGATATACACAGCACGATACCTCATTATATCCCT